ATGAGGAAGCGGCGATTGAGCGTTAAATGAAAGATTTGAAATGAGGGAAACTGCTGATTAACTGACTAATAAGACCATTACTTATCTTAATAGAAATTGTCAAACCCAATGACTGGCATAAAATGAAAATCAGTCCATAAACTTATAGATTTTTTGGGAAAAATAATCACTTTGAATTTAACAGGCTTAAAGGGAAAGCGAGGGAAAAGCCTCCCAGCCAGACTGGATTTGGGTCTATTGCTTATCGTCTTGTTGGGCGTTGAAGCAGTGGAGAGCTTTTGTTGGATGCCAGCAGCTCAGAGAGTTGAGGAGGAGGAGGAGGAGGAGGAAGTTCCACTAAACATAGAAACAAGAGTTCTCCACCAACTCCCAGCCACACAGAGCCCAACATCTAAAACCAAACCCAGTGATTTTCACCAAGCTGTTCACTGTACAGACTACACCCCCGGCCATTCCTCCCTCTCCCTCGGTTCCTCCCTCTATCCGTCGCTCTCAGAGGTCAGCTTTCAGAGAAATATCTCCCTATGTGAATGAATATTAAAGCGGCAGCTGTGTGGGAGGAGAGGTGAGCGGGGTGAACGCCAAGAGGATTCATTCACCACCCATCCTCCGTTTTTAGTGTTCAGGCAATTAAAATTCATCGTTGGCAGGCTGGAAAATGGAGATGATTGTGTGGTCAAATGTGGGAGCAGAAGAGGGTTTTTAATGCATCTTTTAATTTTAATGACTGCTGATGATGTGGATTAATGTGCCCATCGTGCAGAGGACGATGTATAGAGAAGCTTTGCATTTATTCAACCAAAAAGTCAAAAGGGCAAAATTACTGTTGAATTCATTTATTATTTTTAACTTTAAAATGCATGAAAAGGATGAATCCAGATCCCTCCAATTTAAATTGAAAGCCCTTTAAATATTTGTGATTGCATTGCACAAAGTATTTTTCTTTTTGAAGAGATGGTTGGGTCCCCTAACGTGTAAAGTCTTTTTGCTTGATTTAAATTTGGTGTCCATCTGTACTATCAGGAATCCAGTGGAGATCCTTCAAAGCTCCTTTAGGTGCATCTAGTTGCCATTAAGGGCGTTGCAGAGCTCCCTCTGGAGGGTTTAGTGGTCCATGAAGACAAAGACCAGCTCCTTTCGGTGCTCATCGTTGTTGCTAAGGACATGTTAAGCGTCTTTGTAGTGGTTTAAATGGTCCTTCTGATTCTGGAGAAGATGCTTTAGGAGATTTACGGTAATCATACGGATAACTAAAGACTTAGCACTTTAGCAAAACACTAAATGGGGGCTGTAACAAGGTTCTCAAGCAACTACTATACACCTTAATTACTGTACCAGCTCATCTAATGACCCACAGGTGTTCAACCACACAAACTAGCCCATAAATCGCTTAAAGGGAACTATCTTTAAGACCTTAATAGACCTTACAAAAAGGTGCCAAACGCCCAGTACTACCCAGTTCTGCCTTTGTGCCTTTGAGAGCCAGCCCACGTTTGGAGAGGTTTGAGAAGTGTTTGTTATATAGCATTACTAGCAGAAGTCGGATAATTTCTCTTCTGGGAAGAAAATCAGAAAATGCGTGGGCTGAATCTGTCCATCATTGGTTAATTTCTTGAGTTAACCACTACCAAGCCACTGACAGTGGTTCCAACGGTGGGCGGAACAATTTTATGGTGTTGTACTGATGCCAGCTCTTCATCGCTGGCACAAATCCTGTTTCTTTGTGGAAATGTGTAAAATGAGTTCTAGCGTCAGCACCAGCACAGTATCCAGGGAAGAGAAGCACAGAGGGCTTTGCTGAGGTAGACGTCAAGCCAAACTGAAATAAAACCAATTGTGTTTAAGACACTTAAGGACCTTTTATAAAATCCCAGACCTTTGAAAGACCTTAATACGATTTCATCAGGTGGTTGAACGCATGGGTTATCAAATGAGCTCTGAAGAGATGTCAAACTATCTAAATGTCCTAAAGTTCCTCTAAAACATCTTCAATGATGACTCTAAGCATCTGAAAGACCTTTAACAGCGTATCAACAATAGGAACCTAAAGAACTTAAGTTTGCTGCTCTTCCCAGGTCCCCTAAACAATGTCTAGAAGTTTCAGACTGATTACCAGGATTACCAGGGTATCCTTAGAGGTCCTGGCTCCCAAGAACTTAAGGAGGACCTCTAAAAAAACCCTCTAAAATAAATTTCCCTGTAACCAACGAAAGCTTTTAGAGACCATATTGTGGTGGCTTTAACCGGTCGAACGCACACAGGTTGTTAAACATCTAGTAAGATATTTCTTTGTAGGACGGATCATTTCACAGATGATTTGACATGTTTAACCATTTCAAAGTCCTAAAAGAATAAAGGTCCTAAAGGCAAAGCTATCTTAAAAGAGCCTAGAAATATTTTAACTCCCTAAAAAGAACCTGGAGAACTTGTGCTCTCGTTCTTGCTCATAACAAACCTCTAGAACATCAACATCTTTAACATCTCCAAAGAACTTTGTGTTTTTGAACATCTATTCCTTTTTCCCTTTTCTAAGATAATCATTTATTTGTTTTTGTGAAGGTGCTCAGCGATGCTGCTTGCCAGACGCACTCGTTTGACTCTCAGACAGTCTGAGACTTGTAAATTCTACTTGTGCTTTACTGGACGAAATTTTGCACTGGAGTCAACAATGTCAGAGCGCAGTCAGGCCTACGGTCCACTTTACACGTCTGTCCTGTCCTTTTTACTTGATTTAGGTTTTTAGTTTCACCCACAGGGTGTAGGAAAGCTTTCTGCCGCTCAGCAAAGTCTTAAATCCTCCAGAGAGGACGGAGTTTGTGCTGTGGGAAACGGCGAGTCTTTAACCGACTGCCGAGCCCTGAAGGAGACAGAAAACAGACATCTTGTGCAGCTAAGTGGGGCATTTTTCTGACAGCAGCAGACAGTCTGAGCGTCTCTGCAGCTTTCTGTGAGGTTGTCCGACACCACTGAGACAACTTTACAACTTCAACAAGGCTGAGAGCATCTGTGCAGAGACACCGGCCCCATCCTGAACTGTCACTGCTCACATTTGCTTTAATCCTGCACCAGTCCTGCTTCCTGTCTCCGTGCTGTTTATCTCTCCTGCCTGAGAATAAAAACCCTGGAAATGAACAGATTGTGTTTGCTGCGTTATGAAATCAAAACAGCGTTCAGCTTATTTTCAGCTCCAGATAACAATAATAACAGCGGCGCCACAGGCTGCAGAGAGCAGGCTGGCACATATGGAGGTGTGACCGAGGATGAGTTTCATAAGCAGCAGAGAATATGTAAAAGAAATGAAATATTTATCAGATACCTGTTGCCTATGGGTATTAATATGGTTATTTATTTTAGTATGGAGTCCCCGTTAAAGGCTGAATAACCAATCTGTCTGGATACATGTGAATATTGTTTACAGAGGTGTGAAAAATCAGACTCTTGATTTTGATATTCCAACACCTGAACTCAGATCTGAGATACAGTAAAGACGTGACATCAAAGCTTTCTCAGACTCACAATGAGTTTTCATTCATACGTGATCGATATTTGAACATTCAAAGCCACCTGAGTCTGCAGCGTGCCAACAGGTTTCTACAGCGTTGCAAATCTCTGCTTAAAACTTAGTCTCTTCTGTAGCCACCGACTATCAAATATGATTATAAAACTCATTTTATTTTGTTGATTCTGGTTCCAAAATTACTTTTGCTCAAAAACACAAAAGCTTTCAGACCATTAAAAATGTTTTGCTGGTGGATTTTTAATTATTTCTAAATTTTTAACTGATCCTTTCGTGGAGCTACTAACTAACTTATTATTAATGAGTAATAGAGCAAATATCAAACTGCAATAGATAATGGAAGACCGTATGTGATGTTTCCAAATGAGTCTTTAAAATGCATCCAAATTATTTTTGGGAGACAGAAAAGAGGAACAACAAAGACGACACATGGTGAGTGTAGCTGCACTGAGCAGGGGTCTTCTTCTTCTTTTTTTTGACATTATTTGGAGACGTATTTGAAGACAGAAGACAACAAACATAAATATATTGTTGGTTTTTGTCTTTTTAATCATTACTGTATTAAGTTTGTTTATCAGGTGTGAGGTTTTCAGGAGTAAGAGTGCAAATGAGAAGAGAAACACAGCATTTCTGAAAGCAGTCGACTCAACAGTCACGCACACATCTCAATAAACATTTGCACTAAAGCCTCATCAGGCAGCTTCGGAAAAGACATTTGATGAAATGAACAGAATAAAACTGAAGACATTCCTGTATAAATGCACTCTCACACCGTTTTCAGTTCTTTGCAATAACTGTTATGCCAGAGCTGAAATTACTTTCAGCGCTGATGAACTGAAGCTCGGTAATAACGCAGCGTGAAGACTCACTTCTTCTAAACGCTGCCTTGCGACCGTTCCCAGTCCTACAGCTTCACAGCTAAACACCTCCGACACAGCCGAGTTTGACATTCGACAACGAACAAACAAATGATTCACAGGTGAGAGTCACACTGACGACTGATAACATCACATGGCTCCATCCGAGTGACAAAGAAAGCTGAGTACTTTATCAAAACCCCTTATAAATGGAGAACAAACACCTTGATTGTTTCAAGATGGACTGCAATCAAACAGGTGAACTTCAATCTCTTCCTTTCATCCGAACCAAAGAACTAAAAGAGCCTCAAGTGATTTAAAACATGAATAAGACAATTGTCTCTCTATCTTTCCTTCTAACCTCCTTAAATAGAAACTCTAGAAAGCAATCAAAGCCCCAAAAGCAATTTTAAAACATTAATGCAGCCCTTTCCTCTCAGCAGGGGAAACAAAAGCCCTCAAACAGTCCACCGGTATTCCTTTCCTGTCATTCTGTCCTGTCTCTCTTAATTCCCTTCCCTGACTTCCTTCCTTTCCCACAGAGTACCCAACTCAAACAGGAGCGCAAACATATTCACAACAGCTTTTCCTCCTCGGTAGACTAATCATCCGTTCTTTCCTCCTACCTTCTTCAGCTGTCCACTCCGGGTTCCCACGAACACCACCGTGTGCTCCCCGTAGGTGTATGCGGCCACGGCGCCCATGCCCTCGGTCCGGTCCTCGTACAGCGGCTGTCCCTCGATCACCCTCAGGCCTCCGAGCGGCTGGTTCAGTACCAAACCGCAGAAATCATCTCCGATCTGCTTCGGCTGTGGACCAGAGGGAAAAGGTGGCATTATTAGAAAATATCACAAGAAGCGAGGTCGCTCAGCTTCAGATGAAAAATAAGAGGAAGCTGCCGCTTTCCAAAGCCACCTAATACCAGCGTTATTGATCTGGTGCCCGCCTTCAATCCATTAGGCGGGGGATCAGTATCGGCTCTCTACAATAGCACGAGATGTGGCCCCTTAACTAAAGTTAAAGCAGCTTGAGAGCAAGATGTACAGAACGAGTCGTCCAGAAGACAAAAGCACAGACACGCACTTTGGTGGTATGGTATTTAAATAGACAATTTAATGCAGATTTTTCTTTGGTCAGATGTTCAAAAGTCATTTAAAAGATCAATATAAATGATTATAAACAAAACCCTATGTGATCGCTTTGTTTACTTCTTATATTCCCATCGTGATTCTTAATGCGCTGCAGACACCAGTGTTTTAATAGGAGACTGCAGGACCACATGGACGTCACAGTCTACACAAATCATGACTGCTCAGGCCTAACGGTGACTTTAGACCAGCGGTCCTCAACCTTTTTGCGCTACGGACCGGTTTAATGTTAGACAATACTTTAAGGTGTCGCGGATAAATACAGCAAAATAAAATGATGTGACCAAGAAAAATCTGCAGTATTCTGTAAATATAATAATAAACACAAATTCACTGAGTAATTGTGTAACTTTATTAGCAGCGTCCTCCTGAAATGCACCAATAACATTGAGCGTAACATCCTCCTCTCTGCCCCTTAATGCTCTCTGGTCGCTATGGTAACCTGTAAATATTTCTTTCAAAATAACACAAAACTACAACACGGGAAAAACCCTGAAAACCATAAATTTCACGCCCGAGCCTCAACTCTCGCGGCCCGGTACCAAACGACTCGTGGCCCGGGGGTTGGGGACCGCTGCTTTAGAAAGCACAGCTTCTTTTTAATTCACAGTTTGACTGCTTGATCAAAACAAAAACCATTGTCGCCGTTAAACCGCTCAATGTTATCAACCATTAACTTCACCTCTGAACACCGCGGGAGAAACACAGTGCATTTATGCTTCTGCGTTAAATCTATGTCATAGTTATGTCACATGACCCCTTTGAGACCCTGTGCTGTAATCTATGTTCAGGTATCTGTGCACCTGCGCAGAAATGGAACTGTGCATCACTTCAACGCGGCCTGTTCAGCACTGCATTTCCATCTACTTCGTCTGCCACCAGGTTTTGCATTGACTGGAAGAGAAAAGATCAACTTGCGGAGAGAAATTCCACCTGCCTGTTGGTGCTTTGATGGTGAAACTGCAGAGCAACATAGACAAACTGTACACAAGTACACGCTGCCTACGGCCACTCTCACAGACTGCATCGTAGAATTCGAAATCAAGCTTTAGATGTAGGGTTAAGAGCCAATTACACTCTGCTGCAGACACGGACGTGGACAGCTGAAGACATCACGGCCAAGTAATCATTCCTGTTATACTTCTTGGACATGCGTCTAAAAAGGTTCATGTGTACTTGCTGCAGAGTGTGCATGGTCACAAACATCTGTAGGCATGCAAACATCCTTTCAGAACTCTCTCTCTTGTGCTCTCTGATGGATGACGACATTTAACGATAATGCAAAATAACTGCTTGTCATGCAGAGTGGACAGGTCTCAAGCTACCGATGAGTGCACTGATTGACATATGACAGGGTAGTACAGACAGAGTGCTCTAAAACCAATCAGTGACAGAGAGATCCATGATGAGTGAATCACCTACTTAGGGTTAGGTTGCATTTTAGCCTCATACTTAGCAAGCACAGCTCCAGAAAATAGATGTTAGCTTTCAAATAAAGTCTCTAACACTCGGTTATAAGATTTCCATTAGATTGTACCAGGCACCTCAAACGTCTACATAAAAGGGATGAAACCAAACCCAGTCGCTGTCCTCCAGGTGGATATTTCAGGTTAACAAACAAACATCATGTTTTTATTAAACTTTAACACACTGATAGATTACATGAAACTTTAAATACAAATGTAAGGAAAAGCAAGTAAAAAATGAGCAAATGTGGGGTGCATGGTGGAGGACAAAGGGCTGTAGAGCCAAAGCGCTTCATGCTTCTGTATGTTGCCCACAGGGCAGAGTGTATGGAACAGGGAGGAGACGAGTTATTACAGAGTCCACATACACTCAGAGGGTAGCTAACACCCTGTCATTAGCGGGTTAAGGCCTTGATGCATCACAGCGACCGTACAGGGTGGAAAGTCTGAAACCCAAATGTTCGAGCCAACACTCCACTGGCAAGTTTATCTCCATTTTTGCACATCAAAAAATAGAGATAAATACCTTTTACATCTTAAAGGTTCACTCCTGGGAATAGCAGTCAGAATGGTTTCAGGTTGTTTGGATTAGATAAAAAGTTTCCCTCGCCATCATAAATCCCTCGTGACACCTTCAGCTCTCAGTTGGTCCAAATCATCCTTCTTCAAAGATGACTTTCAGCTCAAATTCACTTTCACACAGCAACATCTGACTATCAAACATCTTCTGTCGTGTGACCTGTCAGCTAAGTGTTGATTCACTTAAAAGATTTCTGGCTTCTATTCAACGTTTAATGTTTTCAGCTGAAACCTGTGTGATGCCGACACAGGACAAATCAGAAGTCTAAAGTCTTAAAAAGGCTCAAATGCTCAAAGCAGAGATACTCAGCTGGTTAATAAAGAAACAACATTTATTTTCAAATCAACTCACTTATTAATTAGCCAGGACCGACCACACGCCATGTAAACGGTATATTTAACTGTCCAAATACTTCAGCCAACTCTTTGTGTAACATAGAAGACAGTTTGAGTCTCTTCAGTTTTATTAAGTGAGATATTAAATGGTCCCTGGACAAGTTCACGCCCTAGTGCAGTGGTTCCCAAACTTTTTTCGCCTGGCCCCCTCTGTTTTGCAAGAAAAATGTTCGCGCCCTTCGCGCATGCACACACACACACACACGCACGCACTAACATCCTCCAACCACACACGCCCATATTTTGCTCCACTGCGGTTTATTTCACACCTCAAATATTTAGTAAACAATTAAGCAAATACAAGTAATCTGCAGGTAGTAAGAAAATAAACTACAAACTCTTTTACGTTGCGTCCGCACCTACACGCGTATTTTTGAAAACGCAGCTGTTTCGTAAAACACGTAAACAGTGTTTCGAATCACCGAAAATGGAGATTTTTTTAAAACTCCTTTTTTGCGTTTATGTGTGGACGAGGAATACAGAGTTCATCACGCAACGTCAAAGGTGTGTGTCTTTTTTTCACGTCACGCTGTGGCCACGTTATTGTTTACATGAGATGAATTGCAGAATGGCAGATAGAGACAAAATACTGTTAATCTGACTATCATCAGTTTTTACAGCTTACATATACACACGCCTTGAGGCGACTTTTGTTGTGATTTGGCGCTATATAAATAAAATTGAATTGAATTGAATACACACACAGTCACTGTCCCTCCATTTAGAAAGGCAGAGGCGTCACGGTGTGATTATTTTACGTGTAGTTGTTTTTTTCATGTGTAATAATATTCAACATTGCTATCAATACATTTTTCAAAAATGCCTCTCTGTGCAAAATGGGTTTAAAAACATAAACAGCTGTGGGATCCTGTTTGTCCGTGATTTGGACAGGGGGAACAAATCGTGGCAGGATCAGCCTGATTTGTATCCCGCTGTAACTTTACTGTATAAAGAGCTAACATCTCCAAAATGTCAGGAGCAGTTAGTCATTACAAGAAGTGTTTGTGAACTAAAAGTCAAGAATGTGGGATCCTGTTTGTCCGTGATTTGGAGAGCCCAGCGCTGCTCCCGATGAAGGGAAAACCAATTCTGCAGGGAGACCTACCTCGGCACTTGTGCAGGTGAAGCCAAAGGGAAGATGCTTCACCATATTTTCTAGTCTTTGGCTTAGAATGAAGTTTGTTTGGAAACATATTCAGCGATGCTTCATCTCCTGCTTTGCGTTTGTGAGGAGCCCCGTTGCTAGCAGTGTCCAAGCGTTGTTTTTGTTTTTCCCTTTTCATGCCACGCCCCCCCTTGCAATGGCTCTGCGCCCCCCCTAGGGTCGGGCCCCACACTTTGGGAAGGTCTGCCCTAGTGTATGCCTGGTTGCTCACCTTAAAGCCTGCAGGCCTTGAAAGCTGAGCAGTACTACCTCTGAGGTCTCGGGTCTGTTTCCTGCACATTCACTTTGCTTGCGAGGAATGCATAAGCATACTTCAAGATTTATTTACCTTCTAAGATAACAAGTGATCGACTGTAGAGGCAGGGGGGTGGTTCAGCAATTAGCAATGTTGCCTCACAACAACAGAGTCCTGGGTTAAAACCCGGGCATGGCTCTTCTGGCGGGAGTTTGCATGTTTATCTGCCAATGAAACTTTAACTCCACAGTGATCAGCTGCAGCTGGTACCGAACTAACGCTGGCAGCTGCAGACTGAAATAGTGGAACTGGAGTTCATGCACAGGATGAGGAAGTCACGTGAGTCATCAAGTTCACACACTAGTATCTATTCATTTATTCGAAGAGGCGCGCCTGTCCCACTACTGCCACGAGTACTTTAAAATGAACTGAGAGACAACTTAAGTCTTTTAAATTCTTTGTTAGCTCAGGGGTTATCATTTACTCCTCACACTATGAGAGTCCGAGGTTTAAACCCAAACAGCAGGTGATCTGGTGCTTGGATAGTACATTTCCATTCAATCTGAGCACTCAAAGCATTTTTACTACCCATGTACACACATCCATGTGTTCTTTTGTTTTTGTCTTTCTGATGGAAGCATCAGGGCAACTTGGGGTTCAGCATCTTGCCCGAGATTTCTTCAATATGCAAGCTGAAAGAGCCAGGAATCGAACCACTGATGGTCCAATTAGCAGACGAGCTTCTCCAGCTCCTGAGCCACAGTCGTCCAATTTACCCAATGGCCCCTTATCAAATCTTCTGATCTCTTTGCCATCAGGCATGAGATTTTTTTTTTTTATGTGAAGAGCTTTTAGAGCTCACTGGTTTTGCTTCCTGGGTGCATAAAGCTATGCAACTATAGTGTTTAAACAAAGTTTATGATGCTTTCTGTTTCCTCAGCTCTCTGTGAGGGTCCTCAAAAGTTTAAAAGCTCAAATGAGACAGTGTGGGAAGAAAAAGTGCCGATGGTACGACACACACCTTGGTCTGTCTGCATCTGACGCACCCCACATTGTCATTACGCATACTGTTGACTGAGTGAGCCATCAAAGAGTCATTTGGAGCTCTGCATCTGTGTGAGGTCTTGATAAGATTTCCTCAGAATGAGGGCTTCAAACTAAAAACCATAAAAACAAAACAAGACCATCTACTCAAAGCTACAAACACACAGATGCACACACAGAGCAGAGATTGTAACGTGATGTGCAAACAGGAAACCTGCTGCTGACACTTAATGAAGAACGAGATTAAAGCACTCACACAAAAATATAAAAACACACACACACACACACACACGCACAAACTGAGACCATCCCAATGTCACATCCCATTGAAACACACACACACACTTCCTGCTGTTTTTGACAAAAGAAGGAGGTCAGAGCAGGGACAAAGGCCCTGCTCTGACCTCCTTCTCCTTTCACTTTACCCTGAAAACACACACACACACACACACACACAGTAGCATGGGTCATTAACTTATATTTCATCACTTTCATCAGCGTGTGGCTGATTGGCTGTGATTGGTTGCTTGGTTGCTTGGTTGGTTGCTGTGGGCAACTCCAACCCCACTCCACCCCTCCTTTTCCAAAACCCAGGCCCGGCTCAGAACTCGTCTCCTGGCGGGTTTCCCTGCCTGGTTGCCATGGTTACCACTGCAGGCCATTACCGCCATGAATAAGAACATCATCTACCCCCGACCTGAAATAACCCCACTGCAGACACTGAGAGGGAGGGAGAGCTCTTCCTTCTGTTCGCTCTGGCTTGTTTTTCCTGTATTTTTTCCAAGTTCACACTATTTCTCATCTTTTATCCATTTGAGCAAATGAAGTATATTCAAACTCATCTTTAGTGTGGGGACGAATCTGTCACAGTTTGTGAACCTTGGTGCCTTGTGGGGACAAAAACATTCAATTTAATAATGAAATGTAAGTGTGAAGACTTAAGGTTGGGGTAAGTCTCCAGGAAACCAGCGTAAGTCAACGTAATGTCCTCTGAAGTGACAGAAACATGACTGCGTGTGTTGCAGCCTCAGGGCAGCCTCTGGCCAGATGATGTAGTTTGCACAAAGAGACCGAAACAAAGGAAGAAGTAAAAGACGGCAAAGAGATTTCTCTCCTTTTCTTTATTTTCCTGCTAAACATGCAGGAGGAAATGGTCAGGACTATCTTTTTTAACAATCTAATTAAAAATGTCAGTCTTTCCTCTTACACTTGGCGTTTTTGGCTTCAACAGAAATTGGGAAAATGTGGCAGGAAAACACCCGATCCTGATATTGGACTAGCCTATACTACAGAGCTGTTTAAGAAGTCCAAGACATGTCTGACCTTTAGCAGCAAAATCAAGGTCATCTCTCAAGCCTGTAGAAAGAAAGTCCAAACCACAACCTTTAGGACTAGTCTCCTGCCTGCAGCGGGTCAATCTGGGGCCCATCAGCTTATGTGTTTACTTAGAGCTTGGATAAGATCGCCAATATTTTACGATGTAGCCAGTGGTGTCATTAATTAATGCAGACATATATTAACTCATTCACTGCCAGCCATTGGCAGTGAATGAGTTAAACCCATTGACTCATTCACTGCAATTGACGGCTATAGACGTCAATGGCAGTGAATGAGTTAAAAGTGTTTTCAAACGCTAACCCGAAAGCATCTGTTCCTGACATTTCTTTTCTCCTTTCAACAGGTAGCACATGTTCTTATCCAAATATCGTCAGACCTTAGAGGCCCAGTCCAAGTCAAGTTTCAGGGCTGAAGGTGCAACTTACAGTGTGGATGCAGGGCAGCTCTTTGTTCAGTAACCACGGTAACGAGAGCCGTCCCTCTCCACGGTAACAGGAGCGGATCCTTTCTCTCATGGCCAGGTTGATGTCATGGAGGGTGAACAGACAGAGGACCGTCTCTCTTGGTGGGTTGGAGCGGTTCTTCTGACCCTGAAAATCCACAAAAGAAATTAATTCATTTAGAAATAAATTAGATATTTGCAGGTTTAAGTCCTGGACTGGCCTCTGAGCAAGGCACCCTTCAACAAAAAAAAAAAACTCAGAAAGTTCAAGCTCAGATCGAAAACATCCAGTCAGAAGAGAGGGCATCAACAGTTACCTACCTGTGAGAAGACGACAAACAGGATGTCGTCGTTTTCAGAAAGGCCGAGCGCTTGTGCCAGCCGCCGCCCTGGTTTTTGCTTGTAGGCGGCCTGGACCAATCGGTACTCTATGCCATCTTTTGTGCAGCCCAGAGGAAACTCTACATATGAGTAGAACTCGGTGTCATCAGAGCACATCCTCACAATCTTAGATGTGAAGAAGTTCTCTCCTCCGGCATCCATCTGAGTCAGCTGTGTGTCCAGCTGCAGCGTCAGGAAGTACACGTACGTGCGACTGGAGAAGCCGTAGACGTAGTAGATGTCGAAGGCAGGGTAGAGTGACAGGGTGTCGGATGGGATCTTGATCTGCGAGGAGACGAACTCATCCTGGTAAACCAGAGAGAACATATCGACGCTCTCCTCATCAACCACCAGCTTCCTGCTGGACAGCGTGGGGAAATATTCCGACTTTCCATCGATGGCGGCTCCGATGAACAAGTGGCTCTTGGTCTTCTCCAGCATCTTTCTCTTTGGGTCATCCAACCAGTGGTCTTCAACAATCACACCTGCAGAAGAAGGACAAATAGGCAGGATGCGATTAACACTGTGCCTTCCAGAATGTTCAGGACAAAGTCCTAAATTTTGTAGTTTTACAAACACTTTGCATGAACTGTTTGCAGATATTTTTTTTTTTACATAGGCCTCATTTTCACAGCTTTACAATCTACTGTGATGCTGTACAGAGGTCAGTTCTATCAGCGGATAGCCAAAATAAACACATCTTCCTTTAAAACTAATCAGATACTTTTAGCTTTTTCATAATAGTAATGTAACAGAAAAATATATTGACTTTTATTCTGAAGAACATTTACTGGAACTCCTTCGTTCTCCGGCAACAAAGCTATCAACAATGCAACGCACAAACAACCTCTGGATCAGATGCTAAAGAAAGGACAAGTGTTAGCAGGCAGTGTGAGACCCATTTCCACCAGAAAAGCTCCGGCGGGTCCGATTAGCTCTTTCTTTTCAAGCAGTGTCCCACAGTGGCTGTTCCAGTACTTTAATCAAAGGTCTAACTAATTTCACTCACACCTTTTTTCCCCACTGATACCCGAGCAGAGAAAATATTCCAGCATTTGTGAATGAACCAAAAATCTGCTTTACAAAGAAATATGTGGGCAAAGTCTAGCTGTCAGTCATCTGTTGTTATGTCCTGACAGTCTTCATTCAGGTTTTTGTTCATGCCAAAAACTGCACATTATAAAAACCTGCAAAATATTTTGACACTTGATTGACGTCTGCAAGTCGAAATGCTTCTCCAGCCTGCACAGAAGTCCAGAGGGAACATTGGAGCGTATTGTTTTTATTTTAGGCATTAAAATGATTACATTGGGACAATGCATCAGTACAAAATCTGCCGAATGTTTATAATTGAGTATTTACAACAAGACAACATGAAAATAAAACTGCTATTCTATAAAATATTGTTTACAAAGAGCATGCATTAGATTCCCTCTGTTGCATTAGCTGCTGATATCACTGTAATCCAATAAAACAAACCTTCAGGGAAAAAGCAGAGACACAGTTTCACAGTGAGAGTAACTGCTGTCAAAGCCATCAGCTACTAGCTAACTTAACTGTAAAAAAACCAAAACAAAAACGTGATTCCTTGAGAAAACCTTTCGAAACAGCAATTAGTTGCTCTAACCACTAGTGGAGAAATATTGTTAACGTGAAGCTAAATGTTGACCAGATCAGCTAGTAGTATTAAATGTAGGACCAAATTAGAAACGATTCTGCAGTTAGCTGAATTCATGCTAGCCTTGGTTAGCGGCTAGCTTTTGTGATTTATCTAAAAACTATTATAAGAGACTTGGGTAGAAGTCTCCATGTTTTTTTTTTTTCTTGTGCAAATTGATGGATCAGTGAAGCATCATTTATGGAGCTGTGAGTGTTAGCTAGTTGTAATCACAGACTGGCTAAAAGACGCAGCTTTAGGGTCTAAAAACTGTTCGATTTCAATTCAATTTTATTTACACAGCGCCAAATCACAACAGTCGCCTCAAGGCGCTTTATATTGTAAGGTAGACCCTACAATAACACATACAGAGAAAAACCCAACAATCATATGAGCCCCTATGAGCAAGCTCTTTGGCGACAGTGGGAAGGAAAAACTCCCTTTTTACAGGAAGAAACCTCGGGTAGAACCAGGCTCATGGAGGGGCGGGGCCATGTCGCAACAAGTTGGGGTGAGAGAAAACTGAAGAAAAAGCAGACCTGCCTTAAACCTGTGTTATTTGTAGTGGGAGTCTGTGGCCATCTGTAACCCTAGTGAACCCTTTCCAGATGACCTTATTGAACCAATCACTAGATTAGGTTGCATCAATTAAAACGTGGACTTCTATTTATAAATTACAGGCTAATTCAGAAAAGATTATCATCCAAGGTTTGCTCACTAGACAACAGCTGATTAACCAGAAGTGGTTATCAAATGAGCAAATGGAGTTTTAAAGTCAGCTTCACCCCTCGGTGACAAAAACGCTCAGCTTACGTCTTCATAGCATGACTTCACTAATCAATGGGTGACATCATGGTGGCTACATCCTTCTTTTCCACTGTCCAGAAGCTAATTCCTTCCAAATGTCTTAAATTGTATTACCTGTCGAGGACTCTCTAACTCCACCCCCTCTTCAGCCTTGCTTACCTGCCATCCCATCAGCCTCTCGGGCTCCAGACAGGTAGTGCTCCTTGCGGTGATGCGGTTCCCCCAGTTTGAAGAGATCCTCCAGCCTGAGGAACTGACAGACGCCCTGCCAGATGGAGCCGCATGCCACCAGTCTGTTTCCAATATAATCCACTAGTAAGAGCTTATTCACGTTATCTGACATCTCCAGTCTGAGGACAGAGGCAGACAGGTAACGCAGACAGGTGAGACAGGTGTAGACATACAGATGTAATGATATATAGAAATAAATAAGTGAGACAAGAGGGGACAAACCGATGAGCGCAGGACCTGACGCTGGGTGGAGGGTAACAGCTAGCATTGTCCTCCACAGGTCCGGTCATGTGACTCCGCAGCTCCGTCAGATTAGCTGACAGCTTCAGCACTCGGTTCACTGCTCCGACATACACCTCACCTGTACTCTGGTGGACGGTCAGGTGGGTGAGGGAGGTGTCAAAGGCCCGGTACACCACTCTGCCCGATGGCACGGAGGGAGGCGGAGGAGCAGCAGGGGCAGAGAGGATAGGGGAGGAAAAGAGGACAAGGGAGAGGAGAGGGAGGAGGAGCAGAGGAGAGGAACAGGAGAAGACCATGGTGGACACGAAGAGGAAAGGATGAAGGGGCAGAGGAGGAGAGGGGGGAGGAGGAAAAGGAGAGAAGAGCTGGCGGCAGGTCTGGTGAAGAGTCGGCTTCAGTGGGGCATGGCTGCAGGGAGAGAAAGAGGAAAACGCATTCAGAACCAGCTTCAGAATATTCATGTTTTTAAACTTTCTTTAACGTTGTAGCAATTCACTGATGGACCTCTGAGCATTAATGGCTCCATTACAAACAGGTCCTCCTCACAGACAATTCAGCTGCTTTTAAAGGCACCAATGTGACTGAATGCATGAAAAACAATGTGTATATGGTCTGTGTAAAAGATAGATAGCAGGAACTTGGATACATGGCAGAGACGAGCACTCAGCATAATGAAACTAACGCAGAAGCGACTCAATCCTTTGAGGTAAACATGCAGGAGGTCCTTTTTCTCTTCCCCCTCAGCTGGGTACATGTTTCTTTCCCACTGTCACAAAGTGATAGTTTATAGACCTCATATGATTTTGGGGGCTTTCTCTCCAATATTGGAGAGTCTTTAAATTAAATATAAAGTACTTTGAGGCGACTGATTTGCCACTGAATTGAACGGCTGCAGTTCCTGTGGTGATCACTTAAGGCTGGCTCAAAAACGTAGAGTCCCGTATCAAAAAAAGCCAACTCTGCAGCAGAAATAAACACGTTTGTAAGGTCATTTTAATTTTTATTAACTTAACCATCTGGGCAATGGAGTTAGCTGAGCAGTGTCTTGATTAAAATAAAAGTTTATATAGTATTTAATTTTTTAATTTTGACCATGTAATCTTCTAAATTCCTTGAAAGGACGTCACATCCCTGATCTGCATCTCATCCCTGGTCTGATCAGCCTCAGGTGGATCACCTGCAGGAGGATAAATGCTAAAATATGAGAGTCACGCAATGACCGCAGGAACATCTATTCTTCACAAGGCCACCTCAAACGCCAAGCAAGGTGTTTCACCAACAATAAACAGAATTATCTTCAAAATTATCCCGGCCTTAGCCTGACAGGGAGCTTTAGAAACCAACAGGCAGTATTATTTACCAGAAACACACACACAGATAGCGAGTGCAGAGATTAGCAGAGTGTGGGAGTGTAATCGAAGCAGATAGAATTATTGATCTGTTTCTGTCTGTCTTCTCACTGAATCTCTCTCATAAGCCTCAGCAGCTCCAGTAACACTAAGCTGGATGGAAACTTCACTCTTATCCTTGCAGCCAGTTCAACTCCGACTGACTGACAGTTCTAATCAACACACACACACACACACACACACACACACACACACACACACACACACACACACACACACACACACACACACACACACACACACACACACGCGTAAATGCCTCGACAGTTTAATCCTAATCTACAGCGATATTAACACCAAACGCAGGACAAGTTTGGGCTGCAAGTATTGTGTTGAAAAGCCTGCAGCATTTGCGCTCAGCGTGGGTGTCCCAGTGGGAATTGAACCCTCAACTGCAGCACTGCTTTATATCAGCCTCCTGGTTTTCAGCTCAGACGCATTAATCAATACGAGAATACGAGAAACGGCGTGTGGAAACAAAGAGCTGGATTTATTTTATCTGGCTTTCAGGGGTTTCTTCTTCTGCTTTCTCAGTTACATCTGGAGTGTCTTTTTATTCATCTGAATAAGGTTTAACAGTGGAAACGCTCACTGCAGTCTCAACGGGTCAGATTTGGTAATATCTCTTTTTTAAAAGTCGCTTTTAACTCGAGTCAGGATTAGTGAGCAGGCCTACAGAGAACACATCTGTTCTGTTCAAAAATGTCTTTGAAGTGATTTAAATAGGAGCTCTTCGGCTCATTTTCAGCTCTGTACTTTCACTCCGGTGACTGCAGCGGAGCAGCTTTGCATGACTCACAGTTCAAAGAAAAAAAACAACTGTATTTATCTTATTCTGGGCTTTTATGCAACACTCTTTTCCATCCTTTGTCTAAAGAAATCCATTTAACTATACAGGGTGGGCCATTTATATGGATACACCGTAACAAAATGGGAATGTTTGGTGATATTAAAGTCCGAAGACAATTGAAAGTCTGAAGGCAATTGTCTATGGTGTGAAGATACGAGATGTGCAGCACCTGAAACTACGGATACTGGACGCCTGTGCTGGCATTTTTCCTGCAGTGTTGCTATCAGTGTGTGAAGAGTGGGAGAAGAGGGTGGCATTGACAATCCAACACAATGGGCAGCACATTGAACACATTTTATAAGTGGTCAGAAACTTGTAAATTACTCATGAAAGAATAAAGTTACGTTGAAACCAAGCACACCATTGTTTTTCTTGTGACATTATCAATACGTTTGATGTGTCACATGGCCCTCTTCCTATTGAAAAAACAAAAGTTGTATCCAAGATGGCCGACTTCTAAATGGCCGCCATGGTCACTGCCCATCTTGAGGAGTTTGCCCCCTCACATATACTAATGTGCCACAAACAGGACTTTAATATCATCAAACATTCCCATTTTATTACAGTGTATCCATATAAATGGCCCACCGTGTACATTAAAACATTAGCTGTTGTGGAAGAGCGTTAAAGCTGCATTCTTCCTAATAGCCAGCAGGGGGCGCGCCTCTGGTTGCAGAAAGACTTGAGGTTCTATAGACGTTTACAGGGACGCAGCGTTGCTCTGCAACCTCAGTAAACATATTCTTGATATGTCACGGATTCAGTCACTAGTTTGAAATCTGAATATGCAATATTTTCGATTGTTGACATTATCAGGGTCAGAAAGAAGAACAGAGCAGGATATGCTTATTGGTCAAAACCTGACACGTCATTAGCCAATAAACAGACAGCTTCAAAATGTCACAACAGAACTTCTTGAACCAGGCAGTGACATCAGATGGCTACAGTCATTCTTTAAATACAGTCTATGATTTTTTTCTCTGAAGGCCTGCCTCTCTGAACGCTCTCTTTCTTCTGATTGGCCGAGTGCAGGAAGTCCCCAGTAGTGAGAAAACAGTTCAAATCGAGCACAGATTAATAAATATGGTTAAACAGTCTGTGTGTGTATTTAAACCATTTGACTCTTTCATTGTATTTTAAAAGTGACTAATGTGTGCTGCACTTTGCCCAATTTTGTACATCAATAAAATATGAACTAGTTTAACCAACTAATATTTCTGGTGCTGACAATGTTTACTCATCGTGGTCAACTGATCACACGCGTCTTCACTAATAATACATATTCTAATCCCAGAAATCCCACAGAAGAAGCGGAAACGAATTATTTTACAACTGGGTGGAAATCTGTCTTATTTCAGGTCAGAGAGGTGCTCTGCCTTCACATGAGTGAAATTTTGAAAAACACAGAAACAAAAACGAATTAAAAAACAAACAAACACACTATATACACTGTACAATGGAATATTTAAATAAAAAAAACGGGTGAAATAAGACTGCCCTGTGGGACCAAATCTCTACAAAACAAATATTTTACACAGTGCGTCCTCGCTGTAATTAACGTATTTCAAATAAATAATAAATCGCTGTTTTCAGACAAAAATGGGGAAAATGTAGCTTTGAGCCTCTCAGGTGTAAAGAGCTTCTCGTTGTCATCCCTGCTAACGATGTGAGTATTTGTGACTAATTGTCGATTTGAGGAGTTTACAAGACTCCAGGATATGCATGAGGGCTCAACGGTCAATTGAGAGCGTAATGATCAGATTAACAGCAGGTGGTAAATGTAGATTTCTGACATGCAGCATGATGGTGGATCCACTGAGGCTTAAATTTCACTGCAAAATTTGGGAGAAATGAAACGAGTCCCGTGAACAGAAACAATGTGAAGTAAACCTGGAGCTCTTTCTGAGCAGCAAACAAATCACGAGCCGCCCTGTCCTGTTAATTTTACTGTCAACGTGTGAATTAGTTTCAGCAAACGGGGGAGACATGTTGGACTGAGGAGGTCCAGGCGTCTCTCTGCAGCTTCATTAATAAATGAGAAGAAGAAGAAAGAGTCTTTTTTTTTTAGTGTCATTTAAGAGAGGTCCTCCTGACTGAGCTAAAACAGATCCTCCACACAGCGACTGCACAGCGCCGTGAACGACGGCTTCTAATGAGACAGAAACTGAAGGGAGGGATAATAAAGTTTTCAGCCGGGCAGCGGAGACGTACAGGAAGCCGAGTCCAACAATTAACCCCGTGACACACACACAGAAACACAAAGAGGCAGTGAAAGATCAGCACATTAGTTAATTAGCCCGCTGAGCTGAGGGGGAGACCAGAGAGAGGAGAGGTCGACAGATGGACCAGTGTGTGTGTGCGTGTGTGTGTGTGTGTGCGTGTCTCAGAGTGTGTGACGGACAGCTGGGCAGACAGAGGACACAGATAGAGTTTCTCTAACTGGACTACGATTTCACTGGATCATCCATCACCCTGGAGAACCGGAGGCTGTGACTGAGGATGAGTGATGGGACGACCCCATCAGAGCGAGGACATTTCTGCACCTTAATGGCTTGTTTGACATTTTAGACTTGGGTTTTAAAATCACATTCAGGGTAGAGCTGGCTAAATATGAAGTCCTTTTATCTGGTTGGCCTGAAATCTCACAGAAAAGCCTTCAGCTGATCCAAAACACCACCGTGACAACAGTAACAGGCACATAGGAGATTATATATTTCCCATATTAGCCAGGCAAGAGTTCAGAATTCATCTAAATACATACAAAGTCTTAATGATCAGGACCGGTCACATGTTAAAGATCTCATAGTGCCATGTGATGCTGACAAAGCTCTCAGGATGCTGAGCTGTGATTTCTACAGTTTCTAAAAGTAGAACAGGAGGCAGAACCTTCAGCCTGAAATGATGCTATAAAAATAAAATGGAACTGAACACAAACGAATATGTCACGTTATCAGTCAAGCTGAGAATAAAGTTATAGGTCTTTTAATAACAAAAGGGAAGTGGTGTGAACAAACTTGTTCCCCTTCAGCTGTGGTTGGCCTGTAAAAAAGAGCTGCATTCACTGCTTTTTGTGTTTCTTCTTTAAAAATGCCAAACAAATTTAACTTTGCTTCACAACCAAAAAGCATTTCTGGGTGGCGTCCAACCTG